TAATGGCTGTACTCCTGAGATTTACAGAGGAAAAAATCGTGAGAATGAGTTTAGTATTCAGCTATGACTGATTAAACGCGCAGATACTTCATTGCTCCTGTCAAACAGGTTACACTGAGTGGAGCGGTCGACCGTTTCAAGATGGCGGACCTACAGCTCGTCAGCGCCAATAGACGATAGCGGTCAATGCTGTATCTAGTCATTATATGATATCTATGTATGACTAGACCTTTTTAACGACAACCGGAATTAGCGTCACCTGGTGCTGGGTCACTTCCTGTTATTGCGAGTCTATGCAAATACAAGCCTTTTCTTTCGAAATGTGGAGGAAATCGCAGCGGTGAATTCTTGAACCAATAAACTTGAGAAAGGATAAAAGTTCTTCCATGAAGAATATATCCACAACTATCAAGGTAAGAAAATACATAGCATAGTGAGCTAACCTTTAGCTACAACATATGAAGTACATAAACATCGTAATAAAGCCTAATTTAGTGTGCTAAATTATTTGGAATATTTGAGACAGACGTGGTATAAACTTTTAAATTATATTTTAACATTCTGATATGTGTTTGCCATTACAATGTGTGAAAGAAAAAATACTAGATGTTAGTTATAAGATGCTATAATGCTTGATGTTCACATTGTGCTTTACTTCTGCATAACTATAGGTCAAATATTGTCGAGGGACAGGTAGTTGTCAGAGTTAGATACTTTATTTATGACAGCTGAAGAACTTTGATGTACGATGGACAACTTCTGTACTACTGAGAGCTTACAGTAACATCTTCCTGTCCAGTGGTTAGTTTGTCTTCTGTTGCTGTAGCAGCATAGTCTGTTTTGTTCTACTGCTGTTTCAGCTCATCTTCAAACTAGAATCTATTACTTGTTTAAAGCTAAATATGTTATAACAAGTATTATATGAATGTGCTAAAAACAGTTATCTGTTTTAGGTCTCACTGGGTGACAGCAGGAGAAAAACTAGGTCAACTGAAGTCCCAACCACTTATCACTCGTCCTAGATGGTCTCTAAACTTTGGCGCTGGTATCCAGATGTGGTCCTGTGCCACAGGGCTCACAGATGTTTTACCAGTGCCCACCTGAGAAGTCCTGCGTAGCATCATTCTGGTCCACATGGCTCCACACTTCCCTGCTCTTCCTCTGAGGCTGCAGTCTTCCCAACATGTGTTTTGTGTCCTCACTTCACATCTCAGTCTCTGCAAGTGTCACTGGAAATGTCAGAGGCCAGAACCAGGGAGCAGTCCAGATGTTCTGTGTGGGTACAGCTTCTACAACCACGGCTTACTGCTGTTTCCATGTTGCAGAAGAAGTGCGGAGGAGGAGTCTGCTGACATGTTTTACTTCAACACCTTCATCCATGTGTTTATATCAATGCAGTAAGAATCATAAATGTACAAATCACCCTTGTGTTCCTTCACATTTTTAATATTCAGTCTCAAGCTGTGAATCACTGTAAATACTGTAAATAGTTGTTACTCATGAAAAATACATAGATGTGCCAATTTCTTTAAAATTAAATAGCATAATTTGGGAAAAATATCTAATCCACTATCAATTTATAGTGTACAGTTATAAAATGTTAAATAGTTAAACATAATAGTAATAAATATAGTTAAAACAGTACAGTATGCTGCTCAAGTGTGTTTTAATTAAAGAATGTTTAAAATAATTCAAAATCTTTAAATAACTAATTACATAACACTAGAACAATATGTAACAAACTTGGGTATGGATGTTATTTTTATTTTATAAACTTGCTGCAACACCACTTCACCCAAGGACATAATTTATACACAGAAAAGACACTTGGGTTTGTCTACAAGTAAGCAGGAGACTGTGTTCCAAGATACAATATAAATTTTATTAACACTAAGTTAAAAACCTATTTTAATGGAGGCAATAATGATTTTTAAATATTTAGCCAAGGCTGAGGCTTTCCAGTGGTCAGTCAACTAAAAGCCAAAAGGATGGTTCAAGGTAACACAAGAGAAGAAATTCACCCACAAGCTGTGATGCACGAGACACGAGTGGAACAGAACCTACACAAGACTGGACTGCACCTTCAACCTGGAACATAAATATTAAACATGGGCCTCACATTCACATATCAAAATAGTTGAAAATGGCCCCAGCCTTTAGCCAGCCGACCTTCTCTCAGGTAAGACACTGCCTAATTATGGTGATTCAAGCAGGAGTGAGAGTCCACCAACACAGGACTGAGCAGAATAAGGACAGCTGGGAGTGCTCTGTAACGGGGCTGTTGCTCCAGTCCGTCATTGTGAGAGCTCCCGTTCAGTCAGCAGCCCTGTGCTTCCCCCTTCTGGTCATCAGGCTGAATTGCAGCTCACTTCCTTCTACCGACACAAGATGGCGCTGTTACTTCTACATGCAACAGGTCTGAAGTTTCAGCTCTGCTGCCGTCTGTCTGTTAGTAAAATATCTCGCGAACTACCGGATGGATTTTAATGAAACATGCAGAAATAAATCATTGGGCAAACTCTTAGAACGGATTGAGTTTTGGGATAAATTCGATACAAGATAGTCATCATGGCTAAGTGATCTTGAAAAAACACAAAATGGCTATAAATTTTAAATAAATTAATTCATAAATAAATTAGTGCGGTTGTAGCCGAGACATATCCCCAACATAAATATTTTACAGTTAACAGTTTACACACAATTTTATATTAATATTTTACCATTATCTCTCTGGAACTCTGTATGTCTGTTAGCAAAATATCTCATGAACCTCTGGGTGGATTTGAATTTATTTTTTCAGGAAATAAAAGTTGAATGTAACTCTACAGCTGATTAACTTTTGGAGCCGACCCAGTTCACGATGGCTGCCACAGCCAAGTGAAAACACATCAGTCCAGTCTAAAGGTTCTGCGCTACAGTTTGGTGTGGTAGTACCTGAGAACCCTTCACAACACACCACCCGAGCTCTACTCATTCCTCGGGGTCGTTGCTTATAACTTTAGCATTATCTTTCCCGTTACCTATCTTGTTTGTCTGTTAGCAAAATATCTCATGAACCACTGGGTGCATTTTAATGAAACTTTCAGGAAATATTAACAGCATGACCTTCTACAGCTGATCAACTTTTGGTGTCAATTCAATTAAAGATGGCCGCCACAGCTAATGGACAATAGCCAAATCAAACATGGCTGTAACTCAGTTGATTTTACAGATATGGGGCTGAAAATTATTGAGGTAGTAGCTGAGAGTGATTCACAACAAGCACTGAGCGTGACAACCTCGTGCGTTATGGCACGAGGTTATTTCTCAACATTAAGAGTCATGAAAGGCGGCGGGCGACACGCATTCCTTCAAGTAATGCCTTTGATAGTCGTGACAGGTGATGGTCTGATTGTCCCGCCTGGTGCCTTAATTCCACCCTGCACGCGCGCACACACACACCCATCCCGGGATGAGCTGACCTCATGCAACATCCGAGTGGAGAAGGAGCAACAGGGGGAGAGAGAGGAGCAGAAGGAGGTCTGGCTCCAGGACTCTGAGGTCCAGCAGAGCCTGCTGGGTTTTCATCAGAGCGCACGAGCCTGAAGGAAGCAGGAGCTCGAGCATCTTTTGGAGTTCATTTCCGGTAAGTGGAGCTTCACGCGCAGAGCAGTTTGTTGTAGAAAGTGTCCACCTGATGTCCTCATGTCCATGTCCTCCCTCCGTCCAGCAGGAGACACCTCAGGACCCTGCGCAATGAGGGCTGTGGACGCGCTCCTCCTCGCCGCCTCCCTGTGGTTCCGGAGCGCGCTCGGCGGGTTCGGGCCGAGCCTGTTCGCGGCGCAGACCTCCCCCCCGGACCCCTGCTACGACGAGCCCGGCACGCCGCGCCGCTGCATCCCGGACTTCGTGAACGCCGCCTTCGGCAAGGAGGTGCGCGCGTCCAGCACGTGTGGCCACAAAACCCCGAGCCGCTACTGCGAGCTGAGCTCCGCGGACAAGGGGGCCGAGCGGACCAGGACGTGCCACACCTGCGACGCGTCCGAGCCCCGGAGGTACCACCCGCCCGCGTACCTGACGGACCTGAACAACCCGCACAACCTGACCTGCTGGCAGTCCGAGAACTTCGTGCAGTTCCCGCAGAACGTGTCCCTGACTCTGTCCCTGGCCAAGAAGTTCGAGGTGACCTACGTGAGCCTGCAGTTCTGCTCCCCCAGACCCGAGTCCATGGCCATCTACAAGTCCATGGACTACGGCAAGTCGTGGGTGCCATTCCAGTTCTACTCCACGCAGTGCAGGAAGACCTACAACAAGCCGAACCGGGCCGTGATAACCAAACAGAACGAGCAGGAGGCCGTGTGCACGGACTCGCACACCGACGTGCACCCGCTCAGCGGCGGCCTCATCGCTTTCAGCACGCTGGACGGCCGGCCGTCCGCGCACGACTTCGACAACTCTCCGGTGCTGCAGGACTGGGTCACGGCCACGGACATCCGGGTGGTGTTCAGCCGCCTGCACACGCTCGGAGACGAGAACGAGGACGACTCGGAGCTGGCGCGAGACTCCTACTTCTACTCCGTGTCCGACCTGCAGGTCGGCGGGAGGTGCAAGTGCAACGGGCACGCGAGCCGCTGCGTGAAGGACCGCGAGGGGGGCCTGGTGTGCGACTGCAAGCACCACACGGCGGGCCCCGAGTGCGACAGGTGCAAGCCCTTCCACTATGACCGGCCCTGGCAGCGCGCCACGGCGCGCGACGCCAACGAGTGCGTGGGTAAGTCCCGCCGGTCGGGTCCAATAGTCTGTGATGCTGGTGCGGGTTTTTCTTCTCATCTGCAGGGTAGCGTGTGACAAAACTAAACAACAACAACAACAACAACAACAACAACAACAACAACAACAACAACAACAACAACAACAAGATTGAGTGAATTCAGCTAAAATTGCACATTTTTTAATTGTTCAGGAACTTTAATTTTAGCTTTGTTTATGTTTGTTTTTGTTTGTTTGTTTTGACCAAGACTTTGACAGCAGCTCCACTCCAGAGTTCTTACACAAAATATTTTTGCTACATATCTCAAGACAAAAAAATCTCAAATTCATAAAAACTATATTTTATCACCACATCATAAATACATAATTAATAATTTTATTAGTTTTTACTGATGAGGACAACCTTTAAAAACGTTTGTATTTGTACAACAATAACAACGATAAGGCTGCATGAGGGCTCCATCAGTCTGACTGGTCCCGGCCTGCTGGTGTTTTAATGGATCTCACCTGGTGGATGTTTAATCAGCTGCTCTAAACAGTAAAAAGCCTTTGAAATGAAAGGAAGTGACGTCATGATACGCTCTAAAGCACAGTTGTGCTCTTATCATCTGCTGTTTTGTTGATTTAGTGTAAAGTTTTACTAAGTGCAGAAAAATCTGAATTGAAGTGACACAAAACACTTATTAATTTTATTTATTTTAAAAGCTTTACTTGATATAACATCTGAGTGAATGAGGAATAAAAGCAGAAAATATTTATATTTATATGGAGGCGGTGCAGAATTTAATAGCTTCCTTCTTTAAAGAAACAGTTGGAACAATTTATGAATAAAATGATGAAAAATACCCCGGCTCATGTAGTGAGGTAAAGATAAACATCTCATCTTCATCATCATCTTCATGCTGATGAACATGGTAAACATCAGGATGAAACACTGGTCCATTTCAGCTGAACTGCAGCTGCACAAACAGCAGCTAAAACCAGCTTTGAAAAGTTTAACAGGAAATAATCATTTTAGTGTTTTTTTTTTTTCAAACCATTAAAAATAGTTTTGTTTCAAATTGTTTTATTGTTGAGGCGTCATCTGAAAGGTTTTATTCAGCAAGTTTGATTAAAACTCACTGCCACCCTCAAAATATAAACAAACAAAAGAAATGAATTTTTTTTTTTTAAATATTAAAATCTATTTGCGAGCAGCAGACACTGAAAAATGACCCTTCATTCACATTTTATATGATGCACCACCTAATTAATAATAATCATAATTTAGTTTTAATTTACAGTCTCGTTGTTTTGCCTGTTTTTAAAGACTAATTTCACCAGAGACAGTTTTTATTTTATTTTTTTTTATTTGAGCTTAAAGCCGTTTTTAGTAATTTCTTTGATAAATGCATTTTTTTTTTGCAGTAGTATTATGTAAATCCATACAAAAAAAACCTCAAAGAGTAGCTTTTAAAAATATTACAATAAAAAGATGATAAAATAATAATTGTTCTAATTTAGAGGTTTTTATTTTGCTGCAGACAAAATAAGAATAGGAGCGTTATTATAAATAAACAGGAGAGCTCTGCTGAAACAAGTTGTTCCTTTTTCTGAATGAAGTGAGCTGGAGATCGTTCTGGGCTGTGATTTAAGAGTAAAAACACGGCAGAGTGGATCACAGATGGATCACTGATCAACCAGATCAGACAAGCCGTTTACAAAACCTGCTGCTTTTTGTGTTTTACTGTGAAAACTGGAGTCGCCGCCTGTTTTTGTTCAAAAATTATTTTACTCCAACGCTCGGATAGAAAAGTGTTGAAAAATCATAAAGAAAATACAAACAGTTACTGTAATCTGCTGTTTGACGTGAGTCCTCATGAACTTTTAGATATATTTTTTTTAATTTTACTGTGAAAAAACTTTAAAATAAAATGATATCTTAATGTTTGTTTTATTTGACTAGCACAGAAATACTGTTCTTTCTGCAGAGAAAACATTAAATATATCTATCTGCAGCAGATATCAAAGACAGGATGACATTCTGTTTGTATAGCAGCGGATAATATAATTAATTTAATCTAATTTAATAATAATGGGTTTGTTTGGTTCTCTTGCCTGAGTTTCAGTTCTTATTGATTGTGTGCAGTGAACTGAAGGTTCAAGGTTTTTATTGTCGTTAGTATCACACGGGAGATGGAACGAAATTATGTACTCAAGGTCCCAGTTACACCCAAAAATATCAAAAATATAAAGTATAAAAAATGAAACTGTATATAAGGTTGTAAGATATACACTAAACAATAATAATATAATGTGCTATGTTGCATTAAACGGCAGCCTGAACATGAGTCTGTTGTGAGCAGATGGGTATGAATACAGCAGCTTACCTATAGAAGCCTCCTCTAGTTTACTGAAATGCTAATGAATAAATAAATAAATAAATAAACCGAACTGGGAAAGCAGTACTTTTAAAGCTGCAGGTTGGTCTCTGATGTCCGAGGCACTCCTCAGCTTCTTGATCCATTCGGTTTATTAAGTTCATAAAGTCTGCAGTGATTCAAAAAGCTTCTGATGCAAACAAACCAGAAGCTTCGGCATGTCGGAGACCCGTCGGTGGGGATCATGTCAGGCCCGGCTCTTCGTAATGACACCCTGTGATGGGTACTGCTTCTGGTGCAGTGTTCAGATCTTTGGTGCCTCCTTCTCCAGTCTCAGCTCTGGAGGATCTCCTCTTCTGGTTTTCCTCCACTCAGAGCCGCAGCTCACAGACTCCTGAAAGCAGCTTGTTTAAGAGCTTTACAAAATATCAAAGAGAGTAAAACAGAATATATTTTTACAATCAAATAAAAATCCTGCGCAGGATTTCCTAAATTACCTAAACCAGGGGTCTGCAACCTGTGGCTCTGGGGCCACATGCGACCCTTTAGTCCCTCAGTTGCGGCTCTATGAAGCTTTGACCAGAACTTACAGGAAATTTAGTTATTCTGTTTTTTATACCAACTACAAAAAAGTCTGGCGTTGATGGTTTTTGGTAAATTTTCTGCAAATGTTTCAACAGCACTATATTTCCTCACATTAAAGTAGGCCTGCAGAGTTCAGTGTTTTCATTTTCATCTAAAGATAGAACCTAGAAGTTTTTACTTCTTTACATCATAGAGTTATTTTTGTCCCAGAAGGTAAAAACATCAATTCAGCAGTCCCTCGCTACTTCGCGGTTCTTTTATCGTGGACTCGCTCTATCCTGGTTTTTCAAAATAAGAGTAGACATGACACATAATTGACTGATTGTTGGATGAGCTCACAATCAGCATGGAATTTCTATTTAAAAGAAATTATTTAAAATTATTTAGCACCTGCTGCACATTTGTGCAGCCCTTACTGCTGCAAGATAAACTTCCAGCTGCAGCTGATCAGCTGTTCTTCGTGCAGTTCTGAGAAGTGGGTGTGGCCAAGAGTGCTTGCAGGTGGCAAAAAGCAAACGAGGCAGGGTGTAATCATGACATTCTGTGCTCTTTTAGAGCATTTAGAGTTTAAATACATTGTTTAGAATATTGCAAGAGTGTGGAAAGGGTTTAAAACGCCTTTATATAAACTACTACTTACTACTTGTACTATTATTCCTACTTCATGGTTTTTCACTTATCACAGGGCTTCAAGGTACGAATCCCCCGTGATAAACCAGGGACTACTATCGGTTTTATGTCGTTTTTATGTCTGTATTCTGATTTACCTCATTTTGTATATTGCTTTGTGTGTTGCCTGTTTTTCTGTCTGTACAGCACTTTGGTTGGCCTTGTCGCTGTTTTAAGTGCTCTATAAATAAAATGGTATGGTATGGTATGGTAAATGTTGAAATTCATTATTCATTGTTAGTTTTAAAATGTCACGCCCAATGGTCAAAAAAGCCCCCTCCAATTAACTCAAAGTGGCCCATGAACCACCAGTTGATCATCACAGTCGCGGCAGGTTTCATGGCTCCGGGCTCTTTTTTATTTTAAGGAGCAGAAATGGCTCGTTGATCGAAAAGGTTGCAGACCCCTGACCTAAATGAATCATAATGAAATAAAGCTGTTGGCTGTATCTTGTTTACTCGTCCCGGTGTTGTTGTTTGTTTGTGTCTCACTGACAGACGTCTAATGTTAAACAGCTTTGTGCACTGTGAGCGTTTTACAGCAGCGATGTTGCACAGAGAGTCCCTGCTGTTTGGTTGTTTGGAGACGTTCACGCTGAAGCTCTGGTTGAAGTTTAAACGGCTCAGCATTGTGCTCGTTTATGAACCGGCATCCTTCATCTTCAAAGGTGGCGATAGGCTGCATCATTAGTCGCTCACAGCAAACAAGACTGCGAATAAACCCACTAAAGTAGCAATGCACTTTGCACCGTCTTACCAATCTCACTTGGCTGCTTCACTCATACACATCTCATTTTCTCTTCAGATGTGGGGGGTTGTCTTTCTTTTCACCTCAAGAACCTGTTTCCATGAGCTCTTATCAGTGTTTATGACGGGTTTTGTAAACCGACGCAGAAATAAGTCCCACGTGATCGAAACAATGAGCAGCCTTCTGTTTTAGATCCAGAGTTCTGCTGCGTGCCTCAAATGGACAGGAGCATCGTCACAAGGCCAGCTCTTACTGTAAGCAGGCCTGACGGTGTGCTGGATTCAAACACTAAAAAAGGCAGCCGGAGGAGGTGCGCACGGCTTCAACTCTGAAATCCTGCAGAGCAGTTTTGAATTGGCCACACGTGCCAGTGCTCTAGCTGTCAACTGAAATAATGTTGGTCCGTGTGTGGAAAAGGTTTTTACGCCCCTGGTGCTGCCTCAGACCCCGAGTCTCTCAGCTGTACAAACCGTAGGTCCAGCGAGCATAAAAACAACATCTCTGAGGAGATCTACTGACAAATCTCACACTACCAGGTTTTGTAAGACTTTTTCTTTTGTAATCTCAGATGAAGTCAGATGTTATCTTTGAACTTCAGAAAGGTTTTTAAAAATACTGAAAATACATCCAACAACCTTCA